TGATCGGGGATGATCGGGGATGATCGGGGATGATCGGGGATGATCGGGGATGATCGGGGATGATCGGGGATCGATGTTAGAACTCAGTTCGTTAGCCATTAGCGCAATACCAACAAAGAAGAATTGAATGATAAGCACCTAATTCAAAAAACGTTTACATAAGAAACAAAGCTTTGAGTTTCTTCCGTCAACACAACGGACAACAATATAAAAAAGCATCGTTTTTTTCTGCTGAAGGGGGCTTCAGCCTAATTTAACACTAATACCATTTATATAAGAACCTATTTAGGCTAACTTGAAAAAACCTAGGTTCTTATACACGGGTTTTTACTGTAGTTGTATACACCTTTCAAGACAGCTTTCTATTTTGGAGCTTTTGTCATTATTATGAATGCGCATAGTCCAATATCAATAGAAATCCACACAGCTGTTGAAAAATAGTCAAAATAAAGTTATATTATATACCCCTCGTAGCACTTTGGAATGCAGCTCAGTCTGGGGGACAAAACAATAGGTTCTGGAGATTGGAATTCTTTTGTTTTGTCCCCCAGATCGAGCTGCTTTGACGTCGTATGCAAGAGGTGTATAAATAAATAAATTAATTGAAGTATATGGTTATCACTAAATTCCCTAATGAACTGATTTAGAAATTGATATTTTGGTTAGAAACATTTTCTCCTATTTTATTCTTTTTTAGTGTTATGCCAATTTTCACCGACGTACGCCACGTGTAACGGGTTACACTTAACGCTTCGTTCCTATCAAGAGTTTTTTCTGTTTCTAGAATGCAAAACAATTGTAGTCGTGTAAAAAAAATTGACATTGAATAAACTTATAATATATTAGAGGCCGTGGTGTAGAAAGTTGCTCATCAGGTCATCGCCTAAAACTAAAGAACAACGGTAAGTGTAGATGTAATAGAACGATCAAGAACGAGGGAGAAGTTTGAATTTGGTTTCAGGATTTGATCTGTGAGTTATCCATGCCCTGACTTAAATCTGCCCAGAGGTTGTTTCAGGGTTCTATCTGTTAGTTAGCCATGCCCTGACTTAGATCAGCCCAGAGGTTGTTTCAGGGTTCGATCTATGAGTTAGCCATGCCCTGACTTAGATCAGCCCAGAGGTTGTTTCAGGGTTCGATCTATGAGTTAGCCATGCTCTGACTTAGATCAGCCCACAGGTTGTTTCAGGGTTCTATCTGTGAGTTAGCCATGCCCTGACTTAGATCAGCCCACAGGTCGTTTCAGGGTT